AAACATTCCTCCATAGTGTGCTTCATGTTATCCTTGTGTATAGTCCACCCCTTCTTAATAGATAGAGAAGTTTCCTATATCGTTCTCAGGACCTTCTAATACTTCATGTGATACCAGTGTGTAGTGTTGTACAGACTTTCTAATAGTGTATGTGCCAACAACGATACATGGTGTTCTAAGGACCTTCTAGTACTGTGTTTGTTACCAAATACCAACATGTTCTGATGATCTTCTAATATAGCAACAGACACTTGGTGTTGTGAGGACCTTCTAATACAGTGTGAGTGTCACAAGTACATGGGGTTGTGATGACCTTCGAAATATATTTTGTCTCATTAGTTCATGGTGTTGGGGAGGACCTTCTAAATATATTGTGTGTCATTAGATCATGGTGTTGAGGACCTTCTAAATATATTGTGTGTCATTAGATCATGGTGTTGTGAGGACCTTCTAAATATATTGTGTGTCATTAAAACATGGTGTTGTGAGGACCTTCTAAATATATTGTGTGTCATTAGATCATGGTGTTGTGAGGACCTTCTAAATATATTGTGTGTCATTAGTTCATGGTGTGTGCATCACCTGTACATGGGGTTGAGAGGACCTTTGAAATATACAGTGTGTCACCAGTACATGAGATTGTGAGGGCCTTCTAAATATATTGTGTGTCACCAGTACATGGTTTTGTGAGGGCCTTCTAAACATATTGTGCATTACCAGTACATGGTGTTGTGAGGACCGTCTAAATATATTGTGTGTCATTAGTACACGGGGTTGTGAGGACCTTCTAAATATATTGTGCATCATTGGTACGTGGTGTTGTGAGGACCTTCTAATACAGTGTGTGTGTCACAAGTACATGACGTTTTGAGGACCTTCCAAACACTGCGTCAGGGCTAGATGCGTCACAATTTTATAAACTGGATTTGCAGCAAGATGAGGCCTTGACAAACTTTTTTTCTGACCTTACAATTGCAAAACCTAATAAAACTGGTCAAAAACACCATAGAATTCTCTTAGAGCCGAGGGATGGAACTTTAGAAAGATTTTATAGGTTGAGTAAGAGTGGGCAGAAGCTGATGAAGCAAGACTGTTTCATCAATGCTCATCATATCAATAATGTTGTGCACGACCTGTAAAACACATGTTATCAGTGATGCACAGTGTGGGCTGAATTCCAGGAGTAGCTGCACTGCAGCACGCCACTTTCACAAGCTGTCTTATTTTAAAGGGACATGAGCAGCTGAGAAACACAAGGCTGAATATATCCAGCTGCTGCAGCTTCGTACTAAGGTTAGAGGCCCAGGACTCGAGTTCCCCAACTGCTAACTTTACACCTTGATCAGCACTGATTTTCTCACAAAACCTGACTGTAGTAAGGAGTGCAATTGCTCTAAAGTTGTGCAGCAGAATCAAGAACTACAAATCCTATGTCCTGCTGAATGACATTGCCACAAGCGATGTACAAATGCAATGCTGGCCTCATTCTAAAAATGCTTGCTGCCTAGCGGTCTCTGTGTAAATGGATGTTGAATTCACCGATACCAGAGCACCAGCATGACAGCCAGGCAACTAGCATTTCAAGAAAGATCAGCAGTGGCAGCCTCCATATTCTTGCATTAATGTTTCTTTTAAAGCCCCCTCATCTGTATAGAGATCTACAAATGTCACACTTTATAGCAAATCCATACTCTATCGATTTAGGGCAGAGATGGTTTAGATCAGGGAGGCACAAACTTACCTTTCATGTGCTCCCCCACCATCTCCTTCACCCTTTAAAGTTCCTTGCTAAAAGGTTGTGCATGTTCCAACCAAGCACCCCATCAGCACTTAAATTTTACTAAAGACCCTTCCCAAAGTCACCATGCTCAGGCCTGGCAACAGGCTATTCAGGAATGAAGTGCTGCTTTGTGGGAGCCAGGGAAGAGAGTCAAATGGACCTCTATAATCGAAAGTACTAGGTTTTTCCCCAACAGGTGAACAGGATGGTGGGGAAGCAGATGGAAGGTGCTATTTATCCTCCCTACTCTGAAGTGAACCTGTTCATTTTAAAAGGAATTTAAAGGGAGTCACAGATATTAGATGGTGTATTTGACACTAGTGATTTCAGCAGTCAACAAGTAGGCATTGTAAACAAATCATCCATTAATTTTTTTGCACCTTTCCCACTGTGTTCCCATTAACCAGCTATGCACTTTGCTGGCAACCAGCAGTCCATTTGTATGCTATACATTGCGCTGTATGCATTTATGGCCATGCAAAGACCTGTAACGGCACATTTTATCTAAATGAAGGATCATCATATAACGGCTATGGCCAACTCCGCAGCCTGCATTACTCCTCACATCTAATGTCAGCCAAACACAACCGATGCGATCTTTGAAGGAGTTAATCCTATTACCCCAGCATGGAGCTATGACGTTTCATGCTACAATAATGTCACCAGTTTTCCAGTATATACATTTGTTACAAAGTCTGAAATATTGGCTAAGCCCCCAACACGGTTGTTTTAATTAAGCATGCACTCTAGGTCTACTTTAGATACATAGAATGTCATCTGCTCCCTTTCTGTATGTCTCAGGGACTCCAGAGATGGAATTGCCCTTTCAATATCTACCGACACTGTACCAGTCAAATTTGGATGTTACAGTCTACATTTGGGAGCGTCAATCCTCGTTACACTTTTGTAAATATAAAATACATTAGAAGTCCAATAGCATAGTGTGTCCACCTAGTAAAGGGCATTGTTCAGTGTATTAGTGGCCTTGTAATGGCTTGCTTAAAGATTTGACCCTATGCAGTCAACAAAATGTCATCCAGAGCACCCAATCTGTTCATTGGGAACTTGGTGGGTGTAGAATTTTTATTTGCTTTTGTTGTATTTTATTTAATTGTTGCTTCTTACTTTTTTATTTTTTTATTTCATGGGGATGCTGGATGAGGTCAGGGCGAAACTTGCTAGTATCTACAAAAACCTAAAATATTAGCTGTGAATAGATTATTTCGATCTACAGCATTAATCCACAATTTACACAGACTGCTAACATAATTCAGTTCCCCCAGTTTAATTATAAGGAAGATAGCGAAGTGAAAAAGTAAACCACTTTACATGGTCCCAGATCAAGCTCCCTCAATTGTGGAGAATCTGGCTTTTTAGCGACTACTGGGTTCTTCGCCTATTTATACTATGAAGAGTCAATGTAAGCATGTAGGACTAAACTGGGAGAAAGCCAAGCAACGGTACAATAGAGACTGGAAATAGGATACCAAAGGGACAAGTACACGTGTAAAAATATATACCGTACTGTGCATAAGTTTTAGGCAGGTGTGAACAAATGCTGTAAAGTAAGAATACTTTCAGAAATAAAAGTGTTAATAGTTTATTTTTATCAATTCACAAAATTTCCGGTAGACACTCATTATTGTACCCCTCTCCAGCCCTTCGGCAAACAAACTGGCTCCTGCTGCAACCAAATATTTAAAATTTTGACTCAGCAGTTCAGAGCAACTGCTGTCATTTTTCTGTGGCCAAAAAGCCATACCTCCGATGTGAAAACAAGGCTAAGCGACTCAACTATGCACAAAAAAAATAGGAACTGGGGTGCAGAAAAATGGCAGCAGTGCTCTAGATTGAAGAGTCCAAATTTTAAATATTTGGATGTAGCAGGAGGCAGTTTGTTCACCGAATTGCTGGAGAGCGGTACAATAATGAGTGTTTGCAGCAACAGTAGAGCATGGGGGAGGTTCAATGGAATTGAAGATTTGGTCAGAATAAATGGTGTCCTCAATGCTGAGAAATACAAGCAGATACTTATCCATCATGCCATACCATCAGGGAGGCGTGTGATTGGCCCCAAATTTATTTTGCAGCAGGACAACCCCAAACATACAGCCAATGTAATTAAAAACTATCTTCAGCATAAAGAAGAACAAGGAGTGCTGGAAGTGATGGCTTGGCCCCCACAGAGCCCTGATCTCAACATCATAGAGTCTGTTTGGGATTAGATGAAGAGACAGAAGGATTTGAAGCAGCCGACATCCACAGAAGATCTGTGCTTAGTTCTCCAAGATGTTTGGAACAACCTACCTGTCAAGTTCCTTCAAAAACTGTGTGCAAGTGTACCTAGATTAATTGATGCTGTTTTGAAGGCAAAGGGTGGTCACACCAAATATTGGATTTCTCTTTTGTTCATTAACTTTCTATTTTGTGAATTGATAAAAATAAAACTATTAACACCTATTTCTGAAAGCTTTCTTACTTTACAGCATTTTTTCACACCTGCCTAAAACTTTTGACAGTACCGCATACTGTATTTATTAAAAAGGTAAATATATCTAGGGCTGCAACCAATTAATCGAATAGTCGATAATGAGAATAATTGTCAACTATTCTCATTATCCATTAGTTGGTTGGATCCCCTAGCTCTTTCCTCCACACTGGGAGGAGGGCACAGCAAGCAGTGGGTGGGTGCAATAGCCCACTACCGGCTGTATTTACATTCAGCTGCCTTCTGCAGAATCATGCCACTGGCAGCTGTAATTCTCTGGCTGAAGCTATTCAAGCGTCATGTGCTTACAATACAATTATAAAAAAAAAAAAATTATAGAAAAAGGTGGGAAGAGAGTCATTTTCAATTTCGGCCTGACAGATTCTACAGCGGCAGGTGCGTTGCAGTGCCATTCATTTCGATGGCACCCCAAACGTGCCTCCCACCCGCAGTATGATCGCCCTTACAGTATGATCGCCCTTACAGTACCACAATAGCGTGCGTTCCAGTGCAGTGCAACTGCAAAAAACAGTGCATGCAGCTTTATTCTGAAGTATACTTTATGTTTGTAACACTGCATTTCTGTATTTTAAATTAAGGATGGTATTAAATTTGTTTTTAATCGATCGAAAAAATAATCAGCCAACTAATTGATTATGAAAAACAATCATTAGTTGCAGCCCTACATATAGCCATCAATATATTAATTACACAAACAACTGTTGGACTTACCTATAAAGGGGATGGAGGCTAACGAATCCCCAGGTGAACTGGAAGTAGAAGCTTTCTTCTGTTCTATTCTTTTGATGTGAACTTCGCGTCTGGCATCATTGGGTAACCAGCAGGTTGTGTCCGTTACAGGTTCTTGGTCAATCACGGCAAAGATGTAAGATTGTTGTCTTATAGGCTGCGGGGTCTGACGCCCAGTTGGGGATTTGTCCCTTAAAACCACTGGATCGACGGAATTAAATTCCATGATCAAATCGTGGTCTTGAGCTTTGGAGTTTTGTCCATTTTGAACATCCACTTTATCAGAGGTAGCTGAGCCAGCAGTCACCTGTTTCACAGGCTTTGTGGGAATCGGAGTAGAGGAGGTAATTGGAGATTTGATGATGGAATCTATATGGGAACTAGAAAAACTGTCTGCTGGGGACACGGTCTGCAGGGTTAATACGCCACTTTTATTAATGTGGTTTACCACTTTTTGGTCTTTAACGATTCCATCATCCACCTTTTTGCTATGATAGGGTTTAGGTCCGTAATTAGAGGAGCTTCTCACAGGATTAGATTTAGGAATTGGAAATCTTTCAGACGGGATCTGTCGAGGATGGGGGGATCGAAAAGAGGAACTGTGAACGTCCCGCGAAACAGGGGTGCTTTTGAAGTCACTGGGAGGTTTTTGCAAGGGATGTGCTGAAGGTAAAACTCGGCCACTTACTCGTCTAGTATCTGGGCTATAAGCAACAGGTCCCATTTGGAAGTTTGGAGAACGGGGAGACGTGTGAAAGGAATGTTGCCTAGATCGTTCATAAATGCCCCGTCTATCATCTTGTTCAGTAAATCCAGTCCATTTATAATTGTGCTTTCTTTCACCATTATACTCAGGAAGGTCAGCATTATAGAGGTCTAATCTGCCCCCTTTCCTGGCTATAAAATCCCATGACTTAGATTTGGGGCTTCGGGGAAGCATTGCTGGTAATAGTATTGCATCTTGGGAAGCACTGCGAGGCCAATCCTTCACTAGTGCTGGATCCTCTAGCCGTTCCTGGGAAATACTCCGCTGCCTCATCTGGGCAGGGTGTGAAACCCTGTCGTGAGAAGTACTTCGACGTCGAACTTGAATAGAAGCGTGGTTTGGCAAAGCTTGATTATAGTCCGTTTGGTTTTGAGAGGCTGCTCGAAGGCTGTCCAACCTCTCCTGTATTGTTCGGGAGCCGTACATATGCATACGTCTATTGTCAATGTACTCTTTATATGTTTTGTAATTCCTCCAGTCTATTTGCTGGTGAGAAGAGGGAGAAGCATAATGATTAGGAGATGGTGATTCACCGTGACCAAGCACACTATGACCATCCATACTGTCGGACTGCCCTCCGTACATTGGAGGTTTGCCAATTACACCAGGACTATCTATTTGCCTGGAGTCCATTGGCATTGAAGAAGCAGCAGCAGAAGGTGACCCTGCGGTTCTTGGCGTTGTTATAAATGTGCATTTCTCAGCTCTGTGCAAAAGTCCAGAGCCATTAGTTGATGAGAGGTTTGGAGATGGAGAATCTTCTCTATGCACATTTGACCTAGGACTATCCATGGCATCAGTATGCCCACCATAACTTAGAGGTTTGCCAATCAATCCAGCATTGTCCATTTGCCGGACTTCCACTGGCATCAATGGAAGTCCAGCAGAAGGCGTTGTTGTGGTCCTCAAGCATGGCTCAGTCCTGTGTAAAGGACCGGTACAATTTGTTGTAGCCGATGACAGATCTACAACTTTCCCAGAAGGCACAATAACTGTTCTCACAGATTCATTGATGACACATACAGCAGTATTGGACTTCACAATGTCCGATGGTGATGGAGGCACTTGGATTTCTACGTGGTGGTTTTTGTCCGGCTGCACGGGTTGCTGATTAGTCAGTGATGTGCCTGGAGGTGGAATCTCAGCCGGTTGTGCCATCACTGAAGCTACAGATTTTCTTCGGGGGTAGCATATAGGTGGGGGTTCTGGAATATTATTTGCTTTACCACTAAAGGCTTCATTTCCTCTTCGGTAAGCATCTTGGGAGTAAGCCTAAAAAGACAAAGAACAAAGTTAGGAACTGAAAAACATGGGCATAAAAAAGGACTGAAACGTTTTAAGTTTTTGGGGGCAGCTGCAGGTTGGAATAGCTAAGTGACTTTTTATGCATCTTGAGGGGGGGCCCAATGGGAAGATCTCTTAGCTCTGCCATGGCCATTACTAAGTCAACCAAGAAGTATCACCCCTCCTGCTGCATTTCATAGACTGTAGCATGGCGAGTCCAATAGCGTGGGCAGAAAGCCCTCAAAAAAGACCAAGGCAAATAAACAATGCTTAAAATACCAGTGGAGAGCTCTCACTGCCAGATCTGCCTGTCCGCAACTGCTGAAGACTAAAATATACATTTTTTGAATTAAAAAGTCTGCTGCCTCACTTTTTTTTATAGGATTGTACTGGTAAAAACACAAAAAACTATATGGTCTACACATAACGTAATATACGTGCTGCTTTAAAATGATTAATGTTTGAACTACATGCCAAGTGCGGGTGTCACCATGTTACAAAGTAAACATATGTTAAAACAAACTAGTCAAAGGAGCAGGATATAGCGACGGATCAGTTAAACTGCATTAAACAAGAGCCAATGACAGCAGTTAAATTATCGTTAATGGGATCTACACAAACAAATACAAATCCTCTTCTTTTGGTTGAGCCACAGCTTACCTTGAGCCTCAGGGACTGACTACGCCGAAAAAGAGTTAAACTAAATTCTGTCCTCTTTGCCCATTTCCCTCTAGTATCGAAATGCATTTCAGCAATCATGGCAAAACAAGCACAGAATACGCAGGGATTACAGGAACCGGGGAAATCGCAGCCGCTGGAATGCAAGACCGGCTCACGGAAGCATAGTAAGACATGTTTAAAGGTTCCAGTTGTGAGCAATTAAGCAATCATGACTGCAGTGGCTGTCAATGCAGTAAGGACAAAAATCTATTCGCTTGACTGAGGTTTTTATATAGTACAGGTGTGGTATCACATTACAGCAGTTCCTGCTCTGCCTTATAAATATCAATGTTTGCAGCCATAAACACAGCGGATACTACTAAAGGCAGGGGCGGGGTTTTTAGCCTCCTGTAACATACACAACACAGGGTTACCAAGCACGATTTAATTTTACAAATGAAATAAAAAAAGCAAAATGAAATCAATCTGTACGAGGCAGCGCATGCATTTCTACACTTACGCAAGACAACGGATTTCAGAGACAGGCGTAACTAAAACCGGTTCCGGTGTTAAACGAGCTAGGGTGTCAGACATATTACATCAAAATGAAAACATTCCATAGAGCGACAAGGCTCGTGTGTGTGTGTGTGTGTGTGTGTCTTACCAGAGCTGTGACATCCTTTGGAAACTGCAGCTGGGCAGGAAATAAAGCATAGTAAGAAAGGAAAAAAAAAAAATGAAAAGCGGCTTATTGATGTAAAGACTGAATTATGTTGTCATATTGATGCCGGCTACAGAGAGCTAAAAATACATGTACACTGATTTCTGTGGAAGGTACCAAAAGAAGCAAAAGGGCGGTGGAGCAGATTATGCATTGCTATATCCTCCTATGGCTGCTGGGTCTCGTACACATATGCTCACTGCGAGGATTGCGTTCTACTGCTGGAGGATAAAGAAAAAAAATAAAACCTCCTCCCTGGCAGTGCTGATGTGCATCCCTCCTGCAACATGTAGGTAGCCCCACCGCTTCTTACAGATCCATCCTTCCACTACAGCAATTAAAGCCCTCGCTCCCAGGAGCTTTCGGCAGCATGCAGCTTGTGGATGACGACAGTGATGCTCTATTATGCATCCCGAATAGTGAGGCTTCTCGTACAGACGTGGCTATAGGCTCAGCTCTCAGCTGACGGCAAGCTGCCCCTTTTCCACATTCCAGCTAAAATTAGAAAGATGCTGTGGAGGAAATTGCTTCCCTATACCCAGATCCCGGAAAAATGCCTGTCCCAGACGTTATTAATCCAATCTGTGAATGCGGCAGCTGGGAAGCTGAGGCGGCTGCTACAGGACTACACATCCCAGCAGAGGACAAATGAGAAAAGTGAACTACAGGGCAGTATTGCCTCCACATTTACTATGCAATATTTACAAATTGGCCAATTCAAGCACTGCTTGTGGCAGATGCACTATGTACATAAAGGGTTGGATCAGATTCTTAAGTAGGTCTCACAAGCAGTTTTCTGTTTTCTTCAAATCATTAACTACAAAATTTATTTGGAATAATAAAGTGAAATGTTCCAGAAATTTGGAAGGATGCTGAAAAGAATTACGAGCAGGATGGCAGATATATTTCTTCAGGAAAACGGCATGAGATTGATATGAAGATAGTGGTAGGAATTTGTGATTGCTTTGAGGACTCTGGCAGGGCCTTGTGGCTGTGGCATATGCCGGCTACAGAGAGCTAAAAATACATGTACACTGATTTCTGTGGAAGGTACCAAAAGAAGCAAAAGGGCGGTGGAGCAGATTATGCATTGCTATATCCTCCTATGGCTGCTGGGTCTCGTACACATATGCTCACTGCGAGGATTGCGTTCTACTGCTGGAGGATAAAGAAAAAAAATAAAACCTCCTCCCTGGCAGTGCTGATGTGCATCCCTCCTGCAACATGTAGGTAGCCCCACCGCTTCTTACAGATCCATCCTTCCACTACAGCAATTAAAGCCCTCGCTCCCAGGAGCTTTCGGCAGCATGCAGCTTGTGGATGACGACAGTGATGCTCTATTATGCATCCCGAATAGTGAGGCTTCTCGTACAGACGTGGCTATAGGCTCAGCTCTCAGCTGACGGCAAGCTGCCCCTTTTCCACATTCCAGCTAAAATTAGAAAGATGCTGTGGAGGAAATTGCTTCCCTATACCCAGATCCCGGAAAAATGCCTGTCCCAGACGTTATTAATCCAATCTGTGAATGCGGCAGCTGGGAAGCTGAGGCGGCTGCTACAGGACTACACATCCCAGCAGAGGACAAATGAGAAAAGTGAACTACAGGGCAGTATTGCCTCCACATTTACTATGCAATATTTACAAATTGGCCAATTCAAGCACTGCTTGTGGCAGATGCACTATGTACATAAAGGGTTGGATCAGATTCTTAAGTAGGTCTCACAAGCAGTTTTCTGTTTTCTTCAAATCATTAACTACAAAATTTATTTGGAATAATAAAGTGAAATGTTCCAGAAATTTGGAAGGATGCTGAAAAGAATTACGAGCAGGATGGCAGATATATTTCTTCAGGAAAACGGCATGAGATTGATATGAAGATAGTGGTAGGAATTTGTGATTGCTTTGAGGACTCTGGCAGGGCCTTGTGGCTGTGGCAGGGATTGGTGGTTGCTATAAAGACTGTGGCAGGGATTGGTGGTTGCTATGAAGACTGTGGCAGGGATTGGTGGTTGCTATGAAGACTGTGGCAGGGACTGGTGGCTGCTATGAAGACTGTGGCAGGGACTGGTGGCTGCTATGAAGACTGAGGCAGGGACTGGTGGCTGCTATGAAGACTGTGGGAGGGATTGGTGGTTGCTATGAAGACTGTGGCAGGGACTGGTGGCTGCTATGAAGACTGTGGCAGGGATTGGTGGCTGCTATGAAGACCACCTGATCTTTCATTCAGCTATGAGACTGGTTTGTCTATGAACACCATTATGGTGGCCACACACATAACGTGACTAAACCGATCAAATAAAAATGACAACCTAAACGCCCACCCTATTAAGCTAGTTAGTGAGCACATGATTGACTTGGACTCTGCCAAGTCGATTGGCTGGCATGAAATTCTATTGACTGTTTATGATAAACCGAACCAATATCTTGGGGAGTAATCACAATACAGATTAATTAAATGATTGTTTTTAACAGATGGTTTAGATGTATGACTGAAAGATTGCATCTTCAATATTTTTAGTTGATCGTTCAGTGTGGAACAGTACCATTCGTTTATATGTTTTATCGCTGAATGGAAATCTCAAAACGATGCATCGCTGTGTTTGAGATCACTGAGCAGATTATGGATTGCTATATCCTCCCATGGCTGCTGGGCTTCACACACATATGCTCATTGTGAGGATTGCTCTCTGCTGCTGGAGGAAGCATTACAAAAATAAACACTTCCCTGGCAGTGCTGATGTGCATCCCTCCTGCAACATGTAAGTAGCCCCACCACCAAGTATAATCTAGTAACACTACCTCCCTTTCTATGAATTCCTTCTTTACAGCTAGTGAAAGGAGCAATTTGCCCAGCGTTGGCCCATTCAGCGCTATGGATCTCAAAGATCTGAAGGGAGACTTAGAGCTGGCGCCTAGATTTTGGCCAGGCCTGTATTTCCCAGTGAAGACAGCCTGTGGTCACATACCAGCTGCGGGGCAGTAGAAACCAATACTGCATTCTGAGACCTACAGTACCAAAAGCAGCTCAACTACCTGGATCTATTGTTGATTCTGAAATATAACATTCCCTGGAATTCACAAAGAGTGTCTGTTTAGGAATCTATCTCGCAGTAGAACTTGGAAATGGCAACAGATTCAGGTATGCCAGTAAAGCAGGGGAGGACAAATATGAAATTCTGATGCCAACAGGATTAAGGGCTAGCTGTAACGTTTATGGAGCATTGGCGACCTGGCTCCCGGGATTTGTCCAGCCCTGCAGTAAGGTGCATATGAACCTTTACCATCTATGGAGAAGCATCGCTCAAAGTGGAAAGCAAAGAACTGATTTGGAGAAGTTGGGAGAGTAATGGAAACCAATCAAATCAATTTCGGAAGAATGGTCTCAAACATGTGACAGAATAACTACAAGTTCAGAACAATCAGTGATATCCTCCAACATGGAAGAGGTCTTATTTACCTTCACTTTCCTTACCACCAATATGGTGGTGGAGGGTTCTTTATGAATATATCAAAACAACATAGTAAAATCATACAGTAAAATTGTTGCAAATAAGAAAGACTTGAATTTGTCCCACGCCGGTACAATATAAATGTTGCAGAATTTTTGAATTTGGAGCAAAGCTACAGACAACATATACATATAAATGTTTTGCAAATGCCTTATTTGAAGCACCCCTATTATGTTTTTGTTTTAGCATAACAGAAAAGTCAGGTATTTATGAATCATGGTCACCTTGTGTAAATGCAGCAGGAAACAGTGTTAAAAATGTGGGAGTGGGAAGTCACATATATAACACTTCAAATTTCTAAGGAAGCATAAAAAAAAACGAAAAAAAAAAAAACTAATGCCTGTTGATGAGTTATGGTTTAGCCCTCATTCACACGAGTAACAGCCGGCCTGTACAGATCTGTGCTGCGTGCACGGGCGTATCAGGCCGCTCCCTGGAAGGACAGGTGCTGCGTGTGATTTTTACGCAGCAGCCTGTTCTTCTCTAAAGGTGGCCATACACTCTACAACCATCGCAAGACTTTAGTCTTGCGATGGTTGTAAAGGGATTAAAAAAACGTACGATCTGCCTATCTTGGACAGGCAGATCGCACTCTCGATCATCGCAAGCCCACCCCCCTGAGGGGCGGGCTTCCGATGACCGCAATGCTGAACGGGCAGTGTGCGCGTGCGCACACCGGCCCGTTCAGCATTTATCTTCCGAGCACCGTTCTAACCAGCCGAGAATCGTACGATTCCCGGCTGGTTTTCGAACATGCTGGTTCGACAGAAGACGTGCGACCGTACAGTAGAAACGGTCGCACGTCTCCGTTCACACTGCTCGATTATCGTACGAAAAACCGATCGCATATGATTATCGTACGATAATCGTGCAGTGTATGGGCACCTTAAGGGAGTACCCGGACGTACACCACCGTAAAGTCGGTGTCCCTGCTTGGACGCAGCCAGGATCCATTCGGCCACCGTAAGAGTACGGACACCCGCACAGATGTGCAGTTCGGGTGAGCGTACGGCCTTGTACTTCCATATAGGAGGACAGGCTGCTGCATACAAATCCTCCAATATGCATATATATACCTCCAAACGAAAGCTCTCTGTCCCCAAAAAATTTTAACATAAATTGCAAGGCTATAGTCCGGTCATGCTGAAATTTTTGACTGACTGGTGAGACACTATCAAATTTTTCAAGCCCTGCCTATAGGTGTATGGCCAGCTTAACGAAGACGTGTTCTGACTCCATGGCTGTCTAATAAGGAGACCACTTCCCACTATAACACAACATCAAGGTGGCACCTCTCCACTGATGTACCCTAGGGTACAGGAATCTGACACAAGATGTATGGCTCTGCTAAGCAATGTATTTGGAATTCAAACCGGTAGAATAAAAGATACACATTTTTTTTTACAGGGCTGGAACAATCCCAAGAGCCAAGAAGGAAATGTGCCTAAAAATAAATAAATCACC